CTCATCTACATAAGCAGTAACCTTTTCAAAGAATGTCAAAAGATTTGTAAGGCAACATATTCCCTTAGTTCAACCATGTTGACTATCCATTAAAATTCTAAACATTGTGAAATGACTTTGCAAAGCATCTTTTAACAGACTTTCCAAAACTTTTCTCACAACTGATATAAGATTAACGGGACTATAATTACTGGGAGAATTTTTATCATCTCCCTTGAAGAGAGGAGTTACATTAGCTGATTTCCAATCCTCTGGTACCTGCCCACTATTCAAGGACTGACAAAAAATAGTAGTAAGTGACTCACATATCCAATCTTTAACCTCCTTCAAAACCCTTGGGGAATATTATCTGGCCCAGGATCCTTATCAATTTTTAAACTTCCCAATTTTTTCTTAACCAGCTCAGAATAAATGCAGTCATCTTATTGGATCTCATTTGCCTCTATCAACTGTTGAAGATAAACATTATATTTTAATATTATATGATTTAAACATTACACAAGTGTTAAGCATTCATACTTATGATATTGGATATTCAAGGTATTTATTATTGATTGGTTTGTGATGTACAGTTATGTTAATTGTTGTAAACATATGACATTAACATATGTAGAGATATAATACATAAATACTTACCACCAGTTTAAAAAAAGAAAAAAACTTTGCCTGACAGTAGTTTTTAATTAGTTCTGCTTATATAGGTATTAACATGTAGGTGGCAAACTATAAATATCTGGTTGAATTCACCATTCAGTATTTGAATACCATTAGTACAGTTTTTATGATTTGTCATGTGTAACTTGTTATTATGTCTTAATACACAGCTCTTAAGATTACTCGATGTGTTATTACTGAGCTAGTTGAAACTATTGTTGTTGACCTAGTTGCTATGTTACAGAACTAGGTTGTCACATACAATGTAAGTCAAACACAAACAGGTAACTTCCTCCACTTTAATTAATCAACCTGCTTATGTACTAAGTATATTACCAAACACTACACTAGTATCATATATTGCCTTGATTTTTATGTGCTCCTGTATAAAATCCACAGCCAAAGAAGAGTATGAAAACTTATCAAAACATATATTTATAACAGCTAAAGAATGAAAATCTTCTATATATATATAAAAGAGGAAGTTTGTTTATTTTGTTTGCTATAGGAAATCAAATGGTTGAACTTACAAATTTTAAAATAACTTCATAATAAACAGTTTTTTTACAAGAAATTTAATGGTGCTATTTATTTTGTATTTGATGTAGTATTTAATGAGAAAATTGACAACTAATGATTATTGTGCCATTTTTTTGTAATAAACATACAAACATAAGCACATTTTGCACATAGAAAGCATTATGGTGGGAGACACTCAGATCACCTTGCTGTCAATTCAGTATTTCCAAAAATAAATCACTTATGAAACCACTTAGCACTATTTAAAGAAAACTGGTTAATTTGTGAATTGCAAATTATTGTTTATTGATACAGGTGACTATGCCACCCAAGAAACGTCCTTTCTATGGAAAGTCTTTTGCCGCTAAAAGAATGCAAGCACAAAGAGCAGATGAAACAGAAGAAGAACGCAATCAAATACTTCAAGTACAAGCTGCAAGATAGGCTGCTCAAATACAGGAAGATACTTTGGAACAACGTAAAGTTAGACTTCGAACTCAAGCTGAAAGGCAGGCTACTCAAAGACAGCAAGAAACTGTTGAACAGCACAAAGCCAGAGTTCAGTGAGAATCATCAAGGCAAGCTGGATATAGACAACGGGAAACTTCTGAACAACGTCAAACCAGACTTCAAGCACAAAAATTAAGACAAATAACTTACAGAGAGCAAGAAACAGAGGATCAACATGATGTACGACTTCAGGCTTAAAGAACAAGACAAGCTCAAACACGATATAATTTCAAACAAAGCTTTGTTTGATTAAATGCGTCTTTATTTCTCGCATCACAGCTTTTGTCCACTTACTGAATAATTTGCTGAAAAAATGCTGATATGTACATTTCAAATCTAAATTTTCACCGTGCAACGCCGGGTAACTCAGCTGGTATATATATATATATATTTACACATAATAATTGATGTGATATCCGAGAATGCGAATCAATAAAGCAACTGCCTGAATTGAAAAAGATAAAGTGTAGGACCCAGTGATTATGTGTACTTGAAAAAAAAATCATGGATTGAAAAAAATAAGCACTAGATATATGTTGCACGTAACCATTTCTATTATCAACACAAATACTTATTATTATCTCGTTTATCAGGAAACTAGCTCGTGTGTATCAAGCGCTCTGACGTAGATCCTAGTACAGTTACACGTGTTTCAAGGAGCATCTCAAACATTTCCTATCACTCCCTACCTATAGAAAAGAAAAGATATCTGAGAACGCTAAACATACAAAGTGGCTCAGTAAAACTAGTGTATACTGTAATCCTTTACTGGACAGACCACATAAAGAGACAAGGTAAGACACTGTTGTGAATTAAATCATAGACTGCGAGAAACCGTTATATCAATCATGTATTTAATTGTTTGTGTGACAGAGAGTATGTGGAATTCATTTTCATTTTATGGGAAAGTTTAACTACATTGCTCGATCTTCGGACTCGTAATTATGTGCTGCAAAGCTCCTGACCATCTTATATATTTTTTGTTAAGGGCAAATATACACACAACCTGTCCGGGTTAACGAAACCCGATTTTTAGCGTTATAAGTTATTTAACTTACCTCTAAGCCACCAGGCGGCCTACTTTATTGTACTGTAAAAGAAAGGTTTTGCTTTATTTTTTGAACCCGAACTTGGTCTAGCTTTTAACGTATTGGACTATGGATTGTAAAGTCCGAGGTTTGAGATGTGGTGCTGTTAAGACTTTTCACATTTTCAGCTACGTTTTATTTATGGAGTAAAATTGGTCGTGACTATCTTTGCGCAGATTGGATCTTGTACACTCACAGGTTAAAGTATTCCAAATATCGTTGGTTATGTTAATTGTGGTTTATGCACCTCAGTTATCGAATTTATGTAAAAGTGCTTTTTAAGAAAAATTACGCCCGTTTTAAATAGAATTAATTACTGCACATAAAACAAATTATGTATGTGCTTTACCTGTAGTATATTTATACGCAAAGATAAACATTATATTACGTATTAATAACAACTTTGGACTAGGGGCGTAAAGTTTTTCAAACGCGTGAAATGCAGTAGCCTTTTCCCTTTTAAATGGCGTTCTCAGTTCCATCTCAATGATTATTTTAGTTTTAGAAACGTGAATCCGCTGAAAGTAGTGGGTTTCTTCTTGGTCTTGGAAAATGCTTAAGAACCGCTTTTTCTGCTCAATGTCCAATAACAAACTATTGTTTTAGCAACCTATTGTTTTAGGACCCCTGTGCATGCTTAAGAACCGCTTTTTCTGTTCAATCTCCAATAACAAACTATTGTTTTAGCAACCTTTTGTTTTAGCACCCCTGTGCATGTATCTACACAATACATATTCAAACAATACTCACTCGGTTAAAATTATACAAGTCGAGAATTAAATAGGTGCATGTAATAGATATCTGTAACGTCTTCCTAGAAACTGCAATTCATAGAATTAATGCCTAGTTTTAATATTCGAATTCTAAAACTATGTATTTAGTATCATATAATTACAGTAGAGTTGTTACACAAGTGCAGTATTTGTGTACTGACTATATATAATTAAAGTATACAGTTATAAATACTGTGATATTGTATTTTCATGTTAAACCTGAGCCATATAACTTCATTACACGATCGTGGTATTTTTTGTATAATCTCATAGTCACTGCATGATCAAAGACTGAATTTCTAGACTTAGTGAAATCAAGTATAGGTCAATTATATAGCTTTGGACTTATTTACGACTTATATAGTTTGGTTATTTTTGTTTGGTAAGCAGTGTCACGTCTGATTATATGGCCTGTTTAGAAAACTTCTACAGTTTAAAAGTGTTTGTTGCTCAAAATATGTGTTAAATTGTTGTCGATGGTGGAGTTCCTTATATCTAACATCATATTAAATATTATTTTAAGCTGTTTTTGTTGTAGGTAGGGGTTGCATAATTTAAAATTATGCCGAATAATCAACGCATAATTTTCATACTTTATGCGTAATCAATGCATAACTAGTAATTTTGTAGTGCGTACTATCAAACTGTTGGCCGAGATAATTTTAATTTTTGTCGCCTAACACCCGCAGCCCAGTGTTCATGAGGGAAGTGCATATTAGGTTTTATATGTTTAAATAAATTAGTGTTACATGACTGTGCAGGCACGTCGTTGCAACGTATTTGCATACGTAAGCAAAACAGATTTACTGTACCGTCAATCATTTGACTGTTTGTGACGCTATATCACATTCTCTATTCAGCCACTGTAAAGCATATATGTGAAAGACGATCTTTCAAAGCTGTCACTGCATTCGATAACGTCGTCTTTAAATATAAAGTTCTGCCCTTCATTTGCCAAGGTCAAATCTTGTAAAGCTTCACTGTGAAACTAACGTTGGGAATATATCCCACATGGACTACGTAACTGTTTATGGTTGATAAGAAAACACGAAGAACAAAAATGAAACAGCGCAAATAAAACGTGCTACATGTGAAATTAGTTTTCTACTTTAAAGCAAAAAATATGTAAATTATTCATAAGGTTCAGTAATCTAGGTTTTGCTTTTTTTTCTTGAGAAGCTATCCACCACTACCTCCGATGAATAGATTTTGAGGATTGTGTATTTTAAAGAATATCCCTGGTATTTATTATGTACATAGCTTAAAATATTATTGACAAAATATCCAAGAATGAAAAAGATACAGAAACTAACATATATATTAGAATTCTTCGTTAAGACAACACGACCTTCACATCTATATATTATACAATGGAGTATAATTTTTACGGAAAACTTCAAACCAAACAAGTTATGGATAATTAGCTCCCATTAACTGAAGTTAGTTTAAAGCCTGAAAATGGCTTTATAATAATCTTTGGACAAATTAAGTGCATGCAATTCGACTTTAATAAGAACTCAAATCCAAGTGTGATGAGACAGTACAAGCAAGATTGTAAAGACATGTGCAAGATTTGTTTTCAAATTCCCGAAGGAACCCCACGACAATTCAGGCATATTTCAAGAAGGCAGCGACAACCTCTGATTTGGAGCAGTTTCTGAACCTCCTATGGTACTTCGCATATTCCTTGCAGAACCAGTGATCAAGAACTTCGACGACTTCATCTACCTTAATGGTTAATGTCTTCTCGTCATTCCAAGGACCAGATATCGACATCAATATTACCATGTAAGAGCTTGTATTTGTGCGAGAGTGTGAGTTTTCATCCAAGTGTGACACGTTCATTTCCTCATGTGTTTAAAGCTTAGGAGATCATCAAAAGGCAAGATTTCAAATCTCCAAGACCTCTGGTACCAACGGTAAGCCTAAATCAGATGATAATTCTGTCAGAACTTCATTCCATCAGATTAAACTCCATTGTTCTTTAAGTAAAAAACAAACAACAAAACAACAACGGTTGATCAAAATGAAAAACAAACAAGTTAAGAGTGCAAAGTAATCTTTCTGTTCTCTCTTTTGGGTTCTCCAGCTCAGATAGTAAAAGTTAAGATAGTAATAAACTGAAACATTCTGTAATCAAGGCACACAGGGGATATTCTGAAACCATGGAAATAAAGAAACAAACAATTTTTCCAGTCATGAGATAAATGTAGTAGAAAGTAACCTTAGTTTAAGGTGCAAAAGTGGTTTACATAAATCCCTGGACGTTGATATGGAGGATGACATTATACGGTCTTGGCCAAATTTTTTGCATACTGTTCTATATTGATGCTATTTTCTACGTGCATGGAGTACTATTGAGTTAATACCCGAATAGTAACAGAGAAGGTAGTGTATGATTGGAAAAACATGTACGATTGTTATTCTGGTCGGTATAAGTAGTTTTGAGCATTTGTTCATCAAAACACACATATGCGCTTGTTTTGTATAAAAAGTGTGTTTTTGATACAATCTTTTTCGAAATAGATCAATGCTTTGTTCAGACAATTACTCTGTACTTGGTATAGAGCCATGCCTAATTACGTGCCAGAAGTTATAGGGCATCAAATTGTTCGAGTGTCCAGAAATGGTATGAAGCAAACAGACATTGCTAGAACAGTAGAGTGCCCCCAGTACACTGTATTCAAAATCCTGAAACGTCATTGGAATACAGGAAACGTTATTACAGGAAAGTCTACTGGTAGATACCAAAAACTACTGCACGAGATGACCGTGTTTTTATCAGGTTAACACGTCAAGGTAGAAAGAAGTCTTATGACAGGAGTTACATGAATACATTCATTCCAGTGTATCCGGAAGAACAGTGAACAGGAGACTGACCAAACAAGGTTAATTTGCAAGAAGGGCTATCTTCAAACCAATATTAACTAGAATCCACTGCCGTCAATGTTTTACTTGGGCAATACAGCATGCCAACGTACAGTTAGGACAGTGGTGGCATGTCTTCTTTTCAGATGAGTCATGTTTCCAGCTTATTAAAGCTGATGGTAGGGTTTATGTTCGTTGTTTGCCTGAAGAAGAGATGAGGGAAGACTGTCTTTCCCACAGGGAACATACAAAAAGTGGTGCAGTACATGTTTGGACAGCCATTCATCATGGTGGAAAACTGCTCTTCATATCCTCCAGGAAACGTCAATGGCTCCTCCTCCTCCGACAACATTTCTGCCATATGCTAGGGCAAGGTTTAGCAATAACCTTATGTTCCAGGATGACAATTCCACTGCTCACAGTGCACATATTGTACAGGATTATCTCAACCAGGAGGACGTTACACGGTTGTCATGGCCAGCAACATCTCCAGATTGTAATCTCATTGAGAACTGAACCGGAAAATTGCTAACCATGGCCCTAAACCAGCTACTGTAGCTGAGTTGCAGCGCCTTCTACTGACAAGTTGGGTTGAAATAACGGTGGATTACATCACAACCTTCATTGACAGCATGTCATATCGAGTTGCAAAGGATATTAGAGCACGAGGAGGACCACCCAAATACTGAATGCTTATATAAACTGATATAAGGGTACTAATTTTATGTTATATTTTGTCATTATATATGTTTGTTAATGTTTTGTTGTGATATGTAAAACGCTGAATTACACATCTTTCTACAGGTGTCTGAAAAAATGTTTACTGTTCTAATAAATCGTTCGTGATATCCATAGAACCTGTGCCATTACACATATTACACATATAGATGTTTAATATATCATGCATTTCTCAGTGCTAAGTGTATTTGTATTCCATCTTAATAGTAATG